TGCTCCCCCCGCCCCCCCCCCGCCCGTTGAGAAGCTGATCTACCGCGTCCGTGGGCCCACGGGGCCCATGCTGAGGTTCTTCTGGGTCGGGGCCCCAGCCTCGCGGCCCTTTCGCCCGCCGACGCATGGTCTCCCCCCCCCCCCCTCCAGACTCGAGAGACTGTGAAACCCAAGACCTCCAATATTTAGTCCTCCTTTGTTTGGTCGCCCCCCCCCCCCCCCCTGATCAGCGAGGGCCTGGGCGGCCACCTGCATCTCCTCGAGCTGGGCTGCGCCCGCGCCCCGCGGCAGGTGGGCGAGCAGCAGGCCGCGCAAATCATCGCATCCTGCGACGCCCTCTACGTTGGGGTGAACCCGTGGAAGCTTCCGAACGAGATCGCGAAACTCCATCATCGCCCCGAGAGCGCCCGCGGTCCCTGAGATCATGAAATTCCCCCAACCACACCCGGCACTTTCAAATCGCCCGAGCTTCTTCCGAACATGTCGGATACGGCCCTTGGACGCACTCCAGGATCGGCGTCGACAATGCGACGCCCGCGGCCCCTTCCAGTGCGAGCGCGCTTCTCTGGACCCACAATGCCTAGGACATCGCGCAACTCATCCACCATGTGCTCGCGCAGGAGGCCGTGAATAGTGGGCAGAGTGTCCTCCGACTCATCGGCGTTAAGACCTGCGAAGAGCCCGTCTAGATAGGTCCAATCCTTTTGGGCAGGGATCGGCCCTATCGGCTTGTCGAGCGGGAGCGGCTTTGCATCTTCAAACAGCGCTTCGTCTTAGCGCGCGCGTCGGCGCCCAAGACCAATCGAACTGGGCAATGTGTCTCGTTGGCCGAGTCACCCGCGCGATCGCAGGGCACAGCGACCCCCGTCAGGTCATGCTTCCCTTTGGCTCCTAGCACGCCCTCACCGTCTGGCAGGTAAACTGAGGCCACGCACGAGCCCCCCTTCACGCGCCCGATGACCCAGACGACAGAGCACCTAGCATGTGCAAGGTGATCGCGAGCTCCCTGCACCTGCCAGACACCGACGCGCTGTCGAACACCCAAGCCAACTCCCGAAGACACTCCGCCCTGAACAGTCTTGAGTGCGCCCGTCAATCTCAGCTTCCTGCCACCGGAGTTCATCTCGATCCCTTTCTGCGAAATCTGGGGCTCGAGCACCCTGCGCTCTTGGACGCGCACTACCTGGTCATGCTGATGTACATCGTCCGTCAAAAGTGCAGCGGCCCCCGCCCAATCTGAGGTATTGGCCGTGACGATAAACCAAGTCTTACGAGGCCCTTGACCCACGACCCTCGTGGAGCTCGTAGCCGGCGGCGGTGGGGTGCTCGGCCGAGCCCCCCAGCGATTCCCGCCCTTGAGTTCCACACGGGTCGGGTCTCGACCGTCGCTGGGCTCGGCCAGGGCCGCGCGCGCGAAGGTGCCCTCGAAGCAGTCGTCGAAATAGTGACTGCAGACCCCGACGCCTCGCCGATCGCGAGGCTGTGCGCCGTGCTAGGACTGCTGCCGCCCTCCACTGGGCTCGCCTCCTTTGCCAGCTCCAGGCCCTTGCCGCTGCCCTCAGCGGCGATGGCTCGGTTGAGGATGCGCAGCGCCCGGGCCTTGCAGTCCTCGGACACCGGGGAGACGTCCTCTTCCTCGGGTACTGGCACGTTCTGGGCTGCCTCCGACTGCCCTTCGCCTGGCACGGCGGCTGCCGTCGGCTGGACGTCTGAGCCGGCGGCGGCGCTTGGCTCGTCAGATCCTCGGCGCCTCTTGGTCTGCTGCAGGCGCGCGCGTAGCGCCTCCTGCTCTTGCTTTGCTTTCTCCGCTTTGTGTCTGAGCTCGCCGAAGAGTTGCTTCGCCGTCTCCTGGAACCGCTGCTTGAGCTCCTCCTCTCTGGCTTTGGCCTCGGCACGATCAGCATCCGAGACATCTTGGGATTCTGCCAAGCCAAATAAATCCTCGCCACAGGTGAGCTCCCACCCCGTCGCACCTCCGGCCATTAGATCCTGGAGGTGGAAGGTGGGCTTTGCGGGAGCCCGCGGCACCTGGGCGGCGTGGAGCTCCGTGATTGCATCCCTGCATTGCTTCTCCTGTACCTCCAGCTGGTCCAGAGAAACTCGTAGTTCTTTTTGTGGTCCTCGATCTGCTTCTGCAAGCCAAGGATGACTCCATTCTGCTCCTTGATCCCCATCTCGAGCGACTTGAGGGCCTTCCAGCAATGGTCTGCCCTCTGCTGGGCCGGTGGCTGCTTCTGCTTGAGCACCAGCAACTGCTCGTAGTACGAGGCCAACCCACTGGACATGGACTTCTTGGCGAGGGACACCAGCTGTTGAACGTCCTCGATCGTGAGGTCGGGAGCTGGGTCTGTGCCTGCCTGCAGCATTCCCACGGGGAGTGGATTGGGGCCAGCACCGATCCCACCCAGACCAGGAGGAAGAGCTGGCTGATCACGACCCTTGCCTGCCTTGTCCTTGCGCTCCCCATGATCATCTGCACTGGCCGCCGATGGTGGAGACTTCCAGTGCTGTCTGCAATGTTTGCAGTGTGCTTGGCTCCACTCTGTCTTCGCGCACTTGCAGTGAG